AGGATAAATAAAAAAAGGGAAAGGTCAGATTTTAAAATGATGAATGGAAGAAACTAAATAAAGCAGTTGTAAGCTGATTTTTAAATACACTTTAAAACTCGTATGATTGAAAAGGAAATCAGACCTAAGACATTATTTTTCATATAAGCAAACAATATCATGATACAATTTTGCATCCATTTCAAATACAGTTACATGTGGTTCTCTTCCTGATGGCTTGGATAAATAATTTACACAGCACTATTTTGACAGTGCCCCACACAGTTTGGAAAACTTGAGGTATAACTCCCACAAGTGAACATCATGAACAGCTGTGGTAGAATCTCCTTGGCTTTTACAGCGTTTGAGGCAAAAAGGTTTTGTAACTATTACTCAACACTTATACAGCTTGTCAGACTGAAAATGCTTCTGCAATCACTATTTCTGAAATAAATCACTATTATGCCAACACTAAAGTCTTGAATCCATTGATGAGAAATAACTACTTACATATTGTGCCTATATAACGGTAACAGATAAGGCTGGTTTTTAAAGTACTATACCTCCTAGCAGCAAGATAAGAATGACTTCATCCAATATGAATCTGCCTGAATACTGGAATCAGCATTACCAAAGAAATACATTCAGATGCACGCAAAGACATGGCCTCTCACTCCATTGTTTGCCATTCATACAAGTTGCTCCCTAGTTTTCAGAAAAACATGTTCAGAGTTGCTGTTACCAAGGGAAAAGGCAAAGAATCAGAAGCACCACATCTGAAGAAACATTCAGAAGTTTTCATTTTTTTTAATCCTAAATTATATTTCACCTTTTGCTTCTTATACCATAAAAAACAAGAATCAGAAATGTGAATAATACGGCCAAAGTCTTTGCTCAGAGAGTGACAGGTCCCATTGTTTCAATAAAAGGGTATTTTCTGTGAATCATCTGCTTTTTGCACAGAGAATTCATATTTGAACTAGTTAGGAATTAATATATATCTTCACATGATCTGTGTAACTTAACTAAAAGTACTTCTTTACCTCTTATGATTGGAATCATTTTCCATCCTGCTGTAAAATCAGTTATTAAGTCTACGGTTTAATTTTTTTTAAACTGCCCTTGGATATAAAAAGCTGCCAAGTTTATCTAGTTTGTATATTTGTACACTTTGTACATTTGTACATCTAGTTCAGTATATTCAACATTGATTAATAGCAATTCTCAATAGATTCAGACACATTTTTCCCAGTCCTATCTTGGAACGCTAGTGGTTGTCAATTTTTCATATGAACTAAGAATATCATTACAAATTCAATGTCAGGCTTACTGAAGTTTGAATTTTCAAGAGGTGAATACAGGCTATCAGATGTCTCAAGCCACAGATGGACCAAAGTTGTTGATAACCCGCAAATGCTGATGCCCAGTTCAGGAATTTCAACAGCCTCAAAAAGTGGCAGGCAAGTTAATGACTACAGTTGCTCACAAAGAGAAGTGTTACAAAATCAATATAAGAATTATTGGTGATTGCCTTTTTTCCCTCTGACTAAACTCAAGGTGCAGATACTCATTTTTAATTATGTTAATAGTCTGGTTTCTGAACAACTGAGAAAATGCCATTTTCTTTCTCTGGGATCTAGAAATGACAGTCCCGTCTCTGTTCAGATTTTTTCAGTGTCAGTCCGTCAAACACGAACAGTTATTCAACAAATCCAAGCCGCCAAAATTTCCCTTCAGGCAAATCTTTTAAAAATAAGATGCTGTTTTATTGTGTCTGAATGTTTTGTTCCTGTAATTAACAATAATTTATTTTGTAGCAGCTGTGCCATATTTTGAAAGTAGCTTTGACAAGTCACAGAGTTGCAATTGTTTAACCCAAACTGCTTCTGATGAAAATCAGTGACTACAGTATCATTAATAGGTACCCAGTCATGTTCTACTTTTTTTAAAAAAAATCCTCCAAATGAAGGTGAACCATCATCTTTCAATTCCGTTCTACTATTCCTCCTAAAGTTCAGTGTAAATCCATTTTCTTCAAACCCATTTGTTCAGATCTGACTCTAGAATAAGGGCAGCCAATTTTTTGTTTCTGGCCAGCTGACACAATGTTTTAAAAAAAGAAACTTGAGCCATTTTCAGCTCCCCCCCCCCATTTTCCGATTCTGGGGGAAGGGTTGGTTCCATTGCAAAAACAAGTTGATTGAGCCAATCCAGCTCCTTAAACTTATTTACCAGGTGCTCACATATCATCCTCCTCTGGATATGATTACACCCCTCCAAGCCAGTTTGTTTGTTTGTTTGTTTATCTATCATATTTATATGGCCGCCCATCTCACACGAGGTGATTACACCCTTTCTGAGAAGCTGGCTTGGAAGACAAAATACAGTATTCTAGGCAATGTTTAACCAAAGCAGATCTACTTCTCAAAGCCTTTTCACAAGTACTTCAAACTCAGACCAGATATCATATAGTATAACTAAGTCTTTCTATCTAAATGTTTTGTCTATTGGTTTTTTTTTAAATGGCCCAGTTCTCCAAGAATTTGAGGCAATCTGGTTTTCTAAGACACTATTTCAGTCTTCTAAAATATCGGAATTATTTCCAAATTTGAGGTCTGTCTATAAGCAGATCTGCAGGTATTGATATACAGGCAGATACCATCGTCAATGACTGTGAAGTAACCTGCTGATATTTGTGTTTCATTTTTTATTTATTTCCTTTGATTTCCCAGTGGCCTGAAATGTCTTGAAGTGAAACACTGGCTCCAGCTAACCTTTATTCCACAGAACATCACTAGGCCATTAAGATGTTTTTTGGAACGAAAAATGGTGGGTAACTAGAAATCATTTGCTTCACTCTGAAATGTTCATACCACTGGGATAATCAACAAGACTATACTGGACCCGAAGGAAAATGGGAGCAATTGTAGATACTGAGGAGAGGTAATAGGAGGTTAAAGTAGAAAACGCAATGAAAAGCAAGGGGAGGGGGGTTACACAGACTGCAAGACAAATCTGGCAAGAGTTGGGTGAGTTTATTTATTTATAATTTTGATTTATATGGCTGCCCCAACCCAAGACCAACTCTTGGCAGTCATGTGTTATACATGGTGGGGTTTTAGATGTGGTATATCCACTTGTGTGTGAGACAAATTTAATCTGGGGAAAGTTACTCAAATTCAAAAGTTGCTTTGAAACATTTTGCACTTCCCTAGACAAGTGGATCAATACAAGGGTTGGGGCTTTTTGTTTTTGACAAAAGGGTAAGGAACAAGACTTCTGAGGAATTTGGTCAAATTTTACTCTATTTGTAACATTCTCTTCCAGGTTTTTGTCATTTTCTATCATGTTTATCAAACTACATACATTATTGTTAATTCTACTGCATGTATGTACTGTATATACTTATGTATAAGCCCATCCACAGATAAGCCGACTCTCAAATTTTTAACCAAAATACCATGAAAATTGCACCACCCGCGGATAAGCTGACCTACATTTTTCATGGTATTTTGGTCAAAATTCAAGAGTCTGCTTATCTGCAGATGGGCTTACACACAAGTATACACAGGTAATACGGGTACTTTTAAAAAGTATTACTTGCTGATAAGCCCATCCACAGATTATCCAAGCCCAATTTTTGGGGTATATTTTGGTGTCTAAAATTCTTGGCTTACCTGCAAGTATATACAGTATACTTTTTCTTTGGTTAATAAAATACATAAAAATATTAAAAGTATCAACCTAATTATTAAAGTATGTAGAAAAGCCATTACATAAATTTAGCACAGTCATATTAGTAAGATGATTCGAAAACATGGGATGTGTAGACTGTTGAAGTCAATGTCAGAGTAAACTAAAAAATCATGCATTTAATATCTACAACTGCATTATTTTTTGTCCACATATGTCATGTCAAAACAATGGATTTTTGCATCTGGAAGGCTATGAATATTTCAAAGAAATGTAATGACGGTATATGTCAAGTATCCCATACCTCAGTAATATGATCTTGATCACTAAAAAAAGAAATAATTAAGGATATCAAACTATACACATTTGGAAGTTTTCATCCAAAAATGTCATGATCACATTTTTAACAAAGGTACTTGAAATCCAGAGTTCAGTAAATTATTATTTAGAAAAGAAAATATCCTATATATAATAAGCCTAACTACAACTTTAGCTTCATATATGGTAGGAAATCTCACAGAATCATAAAGTTGGAATGGGCCATTTAGGTCACTGAGCCCAACTCCTTGCTCAGTGTAAGAATCCAAGTAAAATCTTCCCGGATAGATGACTGTCTATGTTCTGCAAGAAGACATACAACTAAGGGCAAACCATCACTTCTCTAGGTAATTAGTTCCACTGTAACATAAATCCATTATTCTGTGTCCTGCCTCTGAAATAAAAAAGAACAGATCTTGACCTTCCTTCTTCTCTTCTCTGTGACAACCCTTCAAGTATTTGAACTGTGCTATCATATCCCCCCCTTAGTTGTCTTTTTCCAGGGTAAACATAACCAGCTGTTTCATTCTTTCTTCATAATGTCTATTACCCCGATCATCTTTGTTGCCCTTCTCTGAACTTGTTCCAATTGCTTTTACTCCTCCTTAAAGCTGTGGTGCCCAGAAATGGACATTGTTTGAGGTAAGATCTGACCAATGTAGATTTGTGCTAGATTTTTAAAAGTGAAAGGTTTAACAAGTAAAGATAAAATGCTTTTAAAGAAATTTAAATAAACATCTTGCTAGAAATATATAAAAGAGTGTGTGTTAAGGATGTTGAAAAAGAAGATGGTAAGAAAATGTAAGATAACCCCACACAGATTTTAAAAAAAACAACAATACATATAGGCAGTCTTTGGGGCAGGCAGTTAAAGGTATCTTTTCTTCATTCATTAAGAATTATGTTCATCTAAACTTTATAGATTCTATATATGCATGCAGATATACATACAGTGGTGACTTTCCCATTATTGCACTCAAACACACAAGTTCTTGCAGTACTAAACATACCTCTTGTACTGAACGAGCGGCTGGCTTGTCTTGATGATTGGCCAATATTAAAAATGGCAAAGTGCATAACTGTGGATGCTGAAGCGCAGAGTGCAGTTCATTCCTAGCGATTTCTAAATCATCTTCTGATGAAGCACTGTCTAATACAAATATTACTCCTTGAGATCCTTGATAGTAACGACTCCAGTACTTCCTGATATTGTCAGCCCCTTTAACAATAATTACACAAAAAACAAGCAGTAATATTAATCAGATGACATACAGTATGGGATTACGTATATCTTGTTTAGACATAACATCAAAATTAAGTTTCAGTGCTTTCCTTTTATCATATTTTAACTTTATTAGACTATTAGAAGTTTGCATATAGGACATGGACTCCCAGTTTCTAGTCTAGTGCCTTACCCACTACACCAAACTGGCTCTCCCTTACTACCCATACCCCTAAAAATATTTATTTCTGTCAACTTCTTTATTGATTATATTTTTCAGTTGTGGCTTTCTCTTCTTTGAAAACACAAAATTAAAATATAAACTCATGCTTTTTTGAATCTCATTTCCTTTACTTCTCTCTGAAACTCTTATGCTGACTCTTCTTCTCTATGCATTGCTTTATGTACTGGTAGCACAGTTTGCATTATCCAACATAGAAATCTTGTTCTTTTAGACATTCTCAGCACTAAATTGGGTATTAATCCAATATCCTCATAAAACACAGCTGAATGTCCAGAATAAAGCACATTATGTAGAGCAAGACATCCACAAAGAAGAGTTTTGTTTTAAAGCAATATTTTCTTTAATGGCAAGCAAAAGAAGAGTCATATTTCTGAAAGAATATTTTCATGTACATAATTTAGATTATGTAACAATTAAAACTTTATGAATGAAACAAAACTCAAAATGTGGAATTGAGGACAAAGTTGATGATTTTGTAGAGCCAGCATAAATACATACAACAGAACAGCTAACATAGCCAAAAGGGTGCTCAGAAAGCAATACGAGACTAACCTTCCCCGACCTTCCTCTCCATATATATTGGACTTAACCTCCCAGTGATGTTGCTTGCTCAAGAAGTTGTGTGCAATATCCAGATAATGCATCATGTATGGCAGGCTTGCTATAGTATGTAAGTAATGGGAAATGTACATTTTAAGAACAAATGCAGCAGCTCTAAGAAGAATGTTTTCTATCTGATAATTATGAATGAATTATCAGATAGCAGAATGTCTCGAAGTTCTTTGAGCACCTGAAGAGCCGCCCTTCTAATAGACCTTCTGTTGTCTGGAAGTTTTACATGACACTTATCTAAATATTTCAAGAAATAAAAGTTCCATCCTACCATGTAGCATAAAGTCCCCTCCTCTTTTTTTAATGTCTCTTTTTTTGTTATAATAACTCTTGGGTTACATTAACTGGGAATATAGCTCAGTTAAATTATAACTAAGAAAACACAGAATCATCATTAAGCTATTACAGCGTCCTCTCTCCCAAAAATCTCATGCACGGCTTTGATTAAAACTGTTATTTCTTGTACTTTATTCTGATAGTAACACCTTACTTGGAAATTCAGCTCCATGTACCAAGTAATTCACACTGCTGTATCTACAGCCACCTCTAATAACAATTTCTTTACTTATCTCTTTTTTTAAAGTTCACTTCCCTGCTCCAACCTCTCACTATTTAAACATTTTCCTCACTTTCTTCCTGAGATGAATCTACTTCAGATTGTACCAGGCAGTGACTATGCCTAGTGGTGGAAAGGTACTCGATAAATATTAAAATATTATTTATTGTCATAAATCAAGACACAAAGGAATCAAAAGCTGCCATCAGACGTGCAGATTATTTATAGTGTTCTTTACCTCCAAGTTCTTTTACGTTCAAGATGGCATTCTGGAACGGCACTGCTTTTATGCTGAAACCTGAAAACAGAAATAAATAAAAAACAACTTTTTTCCAGTTGACAGATTATCCAACACAGTACATTTGTTCACTACTTCCCTCAGTTTAAGCTATTAGCATCTTGTCAGCTTCGGTTGCTAAACTCACATTGCTAAGAATTGTTACCATGAGTTATATGATGGTTATATAAAAATAAAAGTATGCAAATGCATTTTGCATTATTTTAACGGAGGAGTCCTTGGTGCTCTCTGAGCTTGGTTGTTTGCTTACAGATGTTTCATTACCTGACTAGGTAATATCATCAGTACTAGTGACTGTGGGGTTTGCTCTCTGTTTATATACAGTAGCTTGCCCGGCCAGTGTTGGCGGGGGTATGGTTTTCTCATTATTTTAACTGAATTCGGGGCTCTTTTTTTATTTTGAAAGGAGACATGGGAGACACATTGGAAGATGACCATCATCCCAAAAGCTTGGGAATGTGCATCCTATATAGGTTAGTCATACTCACAGTAAGTTTAAAAAGCTGGTACAAAAAATTATTTTCTCTGTCAGTTGCTTTTTAATTTTACTTCTCCTTCTTTCAATTCATTCCTTACAACTTATAGGGGATTTCCCAATGTGGAAAAGGATTGGCCAAGTAAAGCAGGAACAATCACTAAAGTTGCTGTAGCTTGGATGTACCAATCTTCCAAACCTCTATCTTTCCACAATACAGGAGTCTAAGAAATATTCTTTCCCTTATTCATTTTTTCCCTTGTTAATCAATAGTCAGATGTCAAGCCAAACTCTGATCTTTTCCAAAGTTCTCCCCACCCAGCAGCTGCAGGACCTTTAGAGATTCCTCATACATTCATGGTTCTTCTTCAGAACAATTTCATTGCCCTTCTATCAAACATGAACATTATTACTGATGTAATGGCAATCTCTCTGCTGGCCTTGAGGACGTGACTAGTTCTGTAGCTATTCTGACACTTTTTCAGGTTAAGAAAACTAAACATGAGCATTATTCCTTTGACATATGTATGAAGTAAATTTTATAGAGAAAGACATCTGCCTCCTCCCATTTTGTTAAACTTACACCTGACCCTATAACTTCACTGTGCTCAGAGTGGCTTCCAAGAATAAAATCACAAGGTAGCATTAACTTTTCAAACATTAAATGTTATTATTAAAATAGTTAACATTCCCAGAATATTTAAAACAAATTTAGTAAGAGAACTCATGTTTCAGGGAATGCCAGGGTAAATAGGTTCGTTTTTAGCACTCACTCCCAGAGTGAGGAGGTTGTCTCAGATCCACTGAAAATTTATTCCAAAAATCTGGGGCCCTGAGCAACCTTTTTCACAGGGAATAAAATCAACAAGCCCTCCCCAGCAGATCTCAGATTGCAGTGGATAAGGATATCTCTCAGATGTCCAAGTCCAGAGCTATTTAGAGTTTTATAGGTCATTCCCAGCATCTTAAACAGGGCCAAGTATACTATAGGCAGTTGGTGCAGAAGTGGACAGTGTGTGCCCGTGTTCCAAGTCCATTCATATGCTGGCTGCACCGTCTTGTAAGGGAAACAGAAGAGGGCTCCCACAGAAAGAATTCCTTTCTGTTCCACCTTTTAGACTTGTTTTGGATATACTGTAGGTGGACCTTTGACAAAATCAGCTAAAGGAAACCAATATATCTTGGTTATCTGTGATTACACCACAAGATACCTTGAGGTAATACCTGTCAGTCCCACTAGGTAAACCAGACCAGGAAATCAACTCTAGGAACACTAGAACTACCTTTATTGACTATAACCACAGAATTTTGCAAGTGTGACTGGGCTCTATCTTCCCCCTCCCTTCCTGTACCGAGGGAATCATGGAAGTTTCTGCCTGAGCCACTTCTGAATATTATCTTGCTTCTCAGGGCTTAAAAAATGTTTCAGCCCCCTTTGCTTAGGTAATGGTTCTTGCACATTTCCCTCAAAGTCATATTCCTTATTCTCTACAGTATCCTTGCACATGGTTCTTACACAAGGCATTGCAAATTAACTGCTTCAGCTGTTTAGTAAAGTGGGCAAACCTAATGAAATTCTTTTAGATCAAGTTCAAAACTTTCCATGTGTACTACTGAAGCATTTGTACACAGACTGGGCCATATTTGACTTCAGAACCAGTCTACATCATCATCAAATGGATGGACTAAGAGACTTCATCAAATTCTGAAAGACAGGTTAAATATACCTGTGCAGGATGATCCTAAGCACTGGGATGTTTCGTTCTTAGTATACTAATTGCAGAGAGAGAGACAATCTCAGGCTTCTGTAGCATTCAGCCCCTTTGAGCTATTTATATGGAAGAAAGTCTAAGAGAGTGTTAGATCTGGTGAAGGAAGGACACTGAAGTTCTAGATCCAAAGAAGTTAATTGACTGTATTCTGACAAGGATGGAGAAATGCAAAAATTCAATCACATGGCACAGAAGAACCTGAAATCGGCACAAGACCCTGTAGCTGCAAAATTAAGGCCAGAGAGAAATTCTTTGAAATAGAAGAAAAAGTGTTGCTTTTGTTGTCTAGTCAAGAATGCAAACTGCACACTAAGTGGCAGGTTGTCATTTACTGAGGTTCAAGTACAAAACAGACCAGGGTGGTAGGAGGAAAACCAAAAGTTATAAAACCTATTAAGAAAATAGGTTGAGATGAAAGAGGCAACAGCAGCCTTGGGAAGTGATTTACTAAATAGCTGTAAACTGTTTGTCCAGCCACACACAAAGCACCCTGAACCACACATAGATCCAAGCTTATATTCACAACAGACAGCAGATCTAGAAACACTCTTATAAGAATCCTAAAAAGTGTTTACAGCAAACCCAACACTACTGCACTAGTGGAGCATAAAATTTATATCAAGGATGCAAAACCAATAAAACAGAAGCCTTACTGCATTCCAGAAAGAGCCAGAGATAACCTGGAAAAGGAAGTGCAAAACGTGCCATTGCTAGGAGTTACTGAACCTTCACCAAAGAGAGTGGCCTTCACCTGTACTGTTGGTACCCAAAGTTAATGAGGATATGAGATTTTGTGTAGGTATCTCAATCAAGTAACCAAGTTAGCTAGTTACCCTATGCCAAGGGTAGATGACTTATCAGATCATTAAAGTGGGGAAAAACACTTGTCTACTTTAGATTTAAGTAAGGGTTATTGGCAAATACATCTCTAGAAAAAACTCCAAGGAGAAAACACCCTTTGCAACACCTCAAGGGCTGTTTTAAAACATGCCTTTTAGATGTCATAGAGCTCAGGCAGCTTTCCAGAGACTAGAACTTTTCCAGGCAGAGGGAAGTTCTACAACATTTATCTCGATGATATTGTCATTTACAGCACTACCTAGAAGAACATTTGGAGCAGTTCAGGAATGTAAATCCTGCTTCTTAGGGCAGCAGGCCTAACCACCAACCCAGCCAAATGTCATCTGGGGTTTTCTGAACTAGGTTATCTGGGATATATTATTGGTCAGCAAGAAGTTAAGCCAAAGGAGAAGAAAGTGCAAGCTATTCAAGAGATGCAGTCTCCAACTGCCAAAAAGGAAGCAAGATCTTTCCTGGGACTTGCGGGATATTATAGATAGTTTATGCCTCATTTTTACACCAAGGCCAAAGCCCTTACCGACCTAACTAAGAAGAGTAAGCCTAGCCAAGTTTGCTGGATGCCTGTATGTGACAAAGCTTGATTTGTGTAACTCTGTGGTTAAGAGGGAACAGATTTTAATCTTCTATTTCTTTTGTAAATTGATGCATCTGGATTCAGTATTGAGGCTGCGCTAATGCAAGAATTTCAAGTTAAGGAATATCCAGCTGCAATTTTCTGTATTGGCTGTAATCTCTCCACATCTTCAAAGATAACCTGCAACAGCATGCAGTCATTCATGGCTTTCTGCTGCCCTGTCACAAATACATCCAGCCAGATATGTCGATCTTTCTAGCTGATAGCAGGTCCTGATACAGAGGGAGAGAGAGCACAGATTTTCCTAACTTGTAATCCTTAGGAAAGGAGAGCTGCTGCTAATTTGGCAAACAGAGGAAATGAGACCTAAAGAAAAGTCTTCTGTGGAAAAAGAGAGGAAAAATGGAGTTGTAATGACTGCAAGACCAACATGGATACCAGGCTGCGCTGGCTGTTGAAAGTTCGTTGTTTCCAAGAAAGAGGGGGACAAAGATCCACTGAAGGAAAAAGAGAATTGCTATGTACAGATATATCCAATGCAGACGGTTTTTGCAGAAAGCTGAAGAAGAGAGGGGAAACCATGTCTTGTCACTCAGAGAGAGAGACTTACATCTGAGAAAGAGAATGCCAGCCAGCTTAATTAACCCCCTTATTTAAGTAGGAAATAGGGATAGATGTAGATGTAGCAATAACATATTTAACCAACACTTTAGACCAGTGTTTCTCAACCTTGGGAACTTTAACATGTGTGGACTTCAACTCCCAGAATTCCCCAGCCAGCATGGGGAATTCTGGAAGTTGAAGTCCA